GCCGAATATACGAAAGCGTTACATTAATTTAATGGAACAATCATGTAAAATAAGAAAGTCATGAGAATTTCATTCAAATGTTCTAATTTTACCGCTGTTTCATATACTCTGTGCAGCATCTTCGGTTGGTTAATAATCTGGCTCATTTAATCACACTCAAAAATATTTTCCACTGGCAACCTCATAATTACAGAGGCGAAGCTGGTGAATAGAAAATGAGACAAAAATCAGTAAGTCCAAAAGTCCATGTTTGAACAAGATTAAATTTGTCTTGACTGATGCTCACTTTCAGAAAACAAAATCATCAAACAAAAACATAGCCAATCGAAGATTAGAAACAGTAATGAACGCAAGTAAACACAATTAGTCAAAATCCACTGTCAGAGCTTCTTTGCATTTCAAGAATATTGATAAATTTGGGTCAACGGGTCTTTTTTTTGTTCGGCTGAGAACTCTATACAAAAGATCTATCAAATTTCTAAACTTTTACCAACTTAAAGAACATAAATTCATAAATTGAGCTAAAAAATCCAACTGCGAAAACAATAACTCTGTTTTCAAATGTTGAACTCTAATGTTGAGTCTAATTAAACCGCTGGAAAATATGATGGTAAGCCAGCCAAAATATAAACCGGTCGAAGTATCAACCAGTCGACAAAACGTTAGGTGTTTTACCAGCCGAATATACGTAAGCTTTACATTAAGTTAATGAAACAATCATGTAAAATTAGAAAGTCATGAGAATTTCATTCAAATGTTCTAATTTTACCGCTGTTTCATATACTCTGTGCAGCATCTTTGGTTGGTTAATAATCTGGCTCAATTAATCACACTCAAAAATATTTTCCACTGGCAACCTCATAATTACAGAGGCGAAGCTGGTGAATAGAAAATGAGACGAAAATCAGTAAGTCCAAAAGTCCATGTTTGAACAAGATTAAATTTGTCTTGACTGATGCTCACTTTCAGAAAACAAAATCATATAACAAAAACATAGCCAATCGAAGATTAGAAACAGTAATGAACGCAAGTAAACACAATTAGTCAACAACCACTGTCAGAGCTTCTTTGCATTTCAAGAATATTGATAAATTTGGGTCAACGGGTCTTTTTTTTGTTCGGCTGAGAACTCTATACAAAAGATCCATCAAATTTCTAAACTTTTACCAACTTAAAGAACATAAATTCATAAATTGAGCTAAAAAATCCAACTGCGAAAACAATAACTCTGTTTTCAAATGTTGAACTCTAATGTTGAGTCTAATTAAACCGCTGGAAAATATGATGGTAAACCAGCCAAATAATAAACCGGTCGAAGTATCAACCAGTCGACAAAACGTTAGGTGTTTTACCAGCCGAATATACTTAAGCTTTACATTAAGTTAATGAAACAATCATGTAAAAATAGAAAGTCATGAGAATTTCATTCAAATGTTCTAATTTTACCGCTGTTTCATATACTCTGTGCAGCATCTTCGGTTGGTTAATAATCTGGCTCATTTAATCACACTCAAAAATATTTTCCACTGGCAACCTCATAATTGCAGAGGCGAAGCTGGTGAATAGAAAATGAGACAAAAATTAGTAAGTCCAAAAGTACATGTTTGAAAAAGATTAAATTTGTCTTGACTGATGCTCACTTTCAGAAAACAAAATCATATAACAAAAACATAGCCAATCGAAGATTAGAAACAGTAATGAACGCATGTAAACACAATAAAAACACTGACTTTCGACGAAAAAAAGCTACCCTTTAAGCTCTTTGAATTTTTAGAACGATTTATGAATGGCGCTTTTTTGATAACATTAACCCAACTTGAGAAAAGTGGATCAACAGGTAAAGTTTTTATTCCGCTGGAATACTAAAAATAAATTCCACTTTCGAAATTAGAAATCGTTCACGAATTTTCGCGCCATTTCCACGTTCGTATTCGGAGAGTGCTGTTTACGTCACTTTTAGCAGCTCAAATTCAGTTGAACTCAAAAAGTGCATATATACCTAATGTGCATTCATAAATGCATCAATATGTATGAATGCACATCTGTAGTTATTAGAGACTTTTATGTACTTTTTAAGACTTTTCCTGAAAAAAAAATCAGCAAGTACTATATAAGAGTCTTCACTACGGTCATTACTATTAACAATCTTGCATTAAAATCTGGAAACCCTTCAAAAAAGAGTCATAAATTCCAATATCATAAAAATATTTGTTCACTTGTAAAACTTAGCGCTTGAATTTTGAACCACCTAAGCAGTGATCTGTAACACTATAGAGTGGATGGGCTTCGTGCCAAGTCCCTCCTCCTTAGTCAATTCAGTAGCAGCTGACAAGTAAAATGATTCCATTCAATAAAATGATTTTTAACTATGAAAAAAGACAAAAACGACAATTTTCTAAGCCAAAAAGGTAGCCAACTTAGGGAGGGAAGTGTGAATGAACTTAATTTTACATTTTTGAGATTTAAAAAACATTTAAGTTTTGTCTTGCCCTGCATAATTAGCATCACATTTCGCCGTAAAAAACAGACAAGAGTTCATTTAGACTATTTGAGGGTCGAAGCTTTGGGGATGTTCCCGAGCATGGCACACAAGATGATAACAAAAACATTCTATGATTTGGCAATGGTGCCATAGATGGACGTTGAAAAACTCAGCACATATCAATATTTTCAAGCCGACGATACAACATTTCAGGAACTGGAAAATTCAGTTCAAGTTATTAGTGGAAGAATTATTTTTCTCCTTGATAGGCGATTAGTTTCACAGAGATAATTTAATGATTCAAAGAAACGAGTATCCTCATTAAAACGAAAGGCCATGCAAATCATCAAGGTTAAAATTAACGATTGAGTCAAGAAAACGAAATCACAGGAAAATTGCGGGAAATGAACAACGTCTTAGATATAGCTTTTAACAAATTTATCGTACAACGTATTAAATTTCTTGAAATAATTCTTGCCTTCAAATTTAAACTTAATCAAAATACTTTTTTGAAGTTTCACATTGCCTTTTGTCGGCATGTTCTTTGTTTTTTTTGCTCAGAAAAAATGCATGGCAACTCGTTGTTGACTGAAAAAGTTTTTCCAAATGCGCTCTTGAAATGTGGCAAAATTCTCCGAAAAAGCGCAATTTTTTTGCAGTGCTCTTTTTGTCAGTTGAGATGCAATTTTGAAAATTCAATTTCAGTTTTAACGCTTTTTCACTGACTCAGGGTCAGAATCACTTCAAAAAATTAGGACGTTGTCCGATAAATGTGTTAAAAGCTATACAATGTGTGTATATATACAATGCTGATTTAAATTAATCGGACAAAACCAACTTATTTTGAAATTCCAATCACGTTTTTCTCAAATTGGGCTAAGATTAGACAAAAAGTGAAGAGAGAAAAACTTGCTTAGAATTTCACCAGATTTAATAAGGCACAATTTTTTTCCAAAACTCTCAACGTAAATTTTACCCAAAAAATGGATCTTTTGCTTTTTTAATTTGTTAAGAATTACGCTGAAATCACATTGTCAATACATGAAAAAATTATATCACCAAAATCCTCTTACACATCAAACAAATTCCTAGAAGGGTTAATTCTCCAAAAATTTGGGCAAATGTTTAAAATTTGTTTTTAAGCAAAAATTTTGAGTTTTTAGTAAAAATGACATTTCTTGACTGTCAAGCAGAACATTCTCTCTAATACAGTTCTTTTTAGAGCTTTGCTGGGATGTAGGAGGCTTCTTGTGATATAATTTTCTCATCTATTAACAATGTAATTTCAGCGTAACGCTTGATTAATTAAAAAAAGCCAAAATGATCCAATTTTAGGGTAAAATTTACGTTGAGAATTTTGGAAAAAAAATTGCACCATATTAATTCTGGTGAAATTCTAATCAACTTTTGTTCTCTTCACTTTTTGTTTAATCTTAACCAAATTTGAGAAAAAACGCGCTTGAGAACTCAAGTTTTGTTCGTTTTATAAGGAAAATTTAAATCAGCCGAACTGTTGGCAATATCGGTGACCTTGAGCAATTAATTCGGTCAAAAATGACAGCATTTAAACTTAATGAGCTTGATGTAAACCGTTTTCACGCATAGAAATAAGTGAAAAACTAAAATCCGACGTCGGAAAGAGCAGTTTTAGGCTAATTAACTTCGTTAAGATTCGTTGACCAAAAAGGATACTGCCAACAATTTGGCATTAACTATAAAAGCATTACAAAGTAATGGGAACTTCCGGGCAAAGAACAATGCTAACGAATGGTTATCAGCTTTCAGAAACGAACGAGGTCTTAAGAATTTTTCTGAAGTGTTAGCAGGCCCTTAAATAAACAAACACGACCGAGGAACATTTTCATTTCCAATTTGACATGGCAGATCAGTCACCTGTTTATCAGGTTATCTAAAATTTTGAGATACTACAAGCAAAACTGAGAAAAGCATCAAAAAGATGCAGAAGGTTACCAAGAACCAATTAATGTCAGCCAAAAAATGTCTTGAAATTGAATCGCTGAACTTTTAACCTCAATTTTTACAAATTTATAAATTGAAGACCAAACATATAGATAACTGACGGTTGAAAAAAGTGACAGTGATTTTCGAAGAAAACCGAAAAAACGTTTCATAAATTTGAAGCAGTTTTAAAAAAAAACATGTCAACTTAAAATTCTTTGAATTTGCAAAACCTCTTAAAATTGTTACTTTTATGCTATAACTAATCCGCTGAAAAATCTGAAAACTAAATTCCACTTGAGAAACTAGAAGTTGATCACAATTTTCGTGACCTTAACACTACTGATCTTCGATAGTGGAGTTTGCCTTTCTTTAAAAAAAAAAGGAAATGAACTGAACTTAAAATGTAATCACAAGTCAAACGGCGAAAAAATAATCATCACCACCCAAAAAGTCTGAACTACGTTCATCGACTCTTACGACTTTCAAAAAATTTGCCAATTAATAAGCCGATTTAAAAAAATTGCAAAAAGTTTTTTTTTTTTGCTAGCTAATCTGTGTAGTCGAATCCTGTGAAAAAGTTTTAATGCGAAAATGTGAGTTAATGTTGCAATGACCTTTCGTAGTTCAAAAACTTTAAAACCGCATACTTCACGTGAATATCAAAAATAGAATTAAAAAGTAATTTCGGACTTCAATCAAAATGGATCTAGTCCAGGTTAACATTTAAAAAGATATGGTCAAATTCATAGATAAATTAGGCCACTAGATGAATAAAAACCTTGGCTAAATACTGATATCATGTCAAACTTTTCTAAAACTATAAATTTGCTATCATTTTTCTGTTTTGTAGAAAAAATCAGATTAGCTAACAGATACAAAAGACTATAATGGCAGATGTTTGAACCAAGCACAGTTACTTCTGTTTCGGTAGCACAACTAAACGCGCACCCACACGTGGATACTCGAGCTCGCACACCTGAAAACAAAAAAAATCACACCGGAAAGACAATTTCTCGACATGACAATTATGGCCGGGGCTATCAATATTTGTTAAAATATTGATTTCTAAGCTTTCATGTAACTCAAAACACACTTATTTTTTTTCTGATTGTTTGTAATGATCTATGGACAAATAAATTCGTTCTTTATTTCTTAGATGAAAATTAAACTAAATTATATAATGGGGCGAGGAGAGCCCGAAATTGTATGGTAGAGGTGGAAGCAAAATAAAACTACCTGACTCCACTTGTTAGTGTTTGGATTGTATCTGAAGACAGAAGTTGACGACGAGGAAGAATCCAATTCTGAAGTGACCGACTGATAGTCCTCAGAGGATGAGGAAGGGGGAGGGGGACCTAGTCCCCCCACGATGTACAGTTGATTTCCTAGTACACCACAGCCACTCATTTTACGGACACAAGGAAGACGCTGAATGTAGGTCCACAGATCAGCCACTGGGTCATATCTGGATAAGAAAGCCCATTAAACACATTCCTTGATATTTTCCAAGATCTATTTAAAACAACCAAAATACGATCAATCTTGATTAGAAGAAACAAATTTAAAAATTTTGAATCGTTTTCACATAGAGGTGAAGCTGCACTTTGCAAACACAAGCGATAAGACCGCAAAAACTAGCTCAAAAAAGTGCTCTTGTTGTGGAACTTTTGCTTCAATGCATGGCATCGGCAATTCATTGGCATCAGTAGCTTCTTTATTGCTGGCTATAGTTGATATATTATCAAGCGACCGTGACGCATGTGCGAGGACGTCAGGCGCGCAATCTCCAGGTCAGATTTTTGATCCCGGAGCCAAGCTATTTTTTTTTTCATTTTTCCTTAATTCATTTTTAAAACTTTTTTGAACTAATGCAGAGTGACGATACTACGCTTTACAATCATTTCTAAAAGGAAGACAAATTATACTAACTAATTACACTGGAATAATCCTTGTTCGCTTATGGAGTTAATAGCACAAGCAAGCTATATGCTATAAACTTCCATAGGAGAACAAGGACGTTTCAGATTATTCCAGAGTAATTAGTTCGCGTCATTTGCCTTCCTTTTAGCAAATTAATTCTAAACATTAAGAAGACTGCTCGTATCATGGCGAAGCCCTGAATGTTCCGACTGCCTTTTAAGGTCTAAGGAGCAGTAATAACAGGAAAAAATTAGATTTAATAAAACTAAATTGAGGTTTTTTCGTGAAAATCATCCCCCCACACCATATAGAGAACAAAGTGATAAATTTCGCTCATAATAACAAATCAATTATGGCAAATAAGCTTCCTTCAACCAATTTGGAATGATTTCTATGACGGATTAATTCTCAGCTTCAGCGTTAATAGCGCGCAATATATCGCGCGTTAATGATCCCTAATTGACCAAAATGGTAATCTTTCAGCCCCCATAACTTAACGAACTTTTTTTTTCAAATCTAAGCACAAGAAAACAATACTTTTTGACTCATAGAAAAAATTCCGTCAAAAGTGTATAGTTAAAAAGTCGAAAATTGTCTGAAGAAAAAAACCACCCCGAGCACAAATATTCCGTTACTTTCGTTACGACAAGACCGGTCGTATATCAGGGCAAAGCTCTGAATGTTCCGATTGCCCCTTAATCTATATCGAATAGTTTTTAGGGAAAAAATTTTTTTGAATAACTAAAATTTTCGGACAATATTTAAGACCAAGTGTGAAAATTTCAGTCGTGCGAAAATAATACGCCCAATTAGCTAGCCTCAATTCAATTTGGAACAATTTTGTTGTGCGGGATAATTCGCTACCCAGAAACAAATCGCGTTGCGCTTTCAGGATTATGGATAAAAGCTAGAAAGCACGCACAAATTAGTCCAGAGCCTGGCCAAATTGGCAACTTTCGAACTGGCAAAACTTTACAAAAAAAGATTCGAGGTAAAATTTCTCTTCAAGTTTGATTTCAGGGAGTCCATATCTTCAATGGGCCATGAAATTGCTTCGCTGAAAACTATTATTGCGATCGCCGAAAAATTGACCGAAAAAAAAACACACCAAGCATAAATTTTCGAAAGTCGGTGCAAAAATTAAACAGCGATAAATCAAACTTGTTTTTAACAAAACGAATTTTTTCAACTGAAACAAAAAACAAGAACAAGAAACCACAAGCCCTGAATAAGTGTCTTCGTTTCGTTCATTGGCACTTAACAAAGGAAACCTTAAATATTGCTGCCCAAAAATACATACACGTAACCTTCAAAACCTTGGAATAAAGTTCTACATCTATATCAAGTGTAAATTGAAATACCTTTCGCACGAGTCCAGCGCAGTGCAGCGGTTGAACTGTGACAGCGATTGAGTGTGAGAGGTGGTACCCCCACATACATATAAAAGAGAGGACAGAGATGCCACTGATGCATGGGCCCTTTGTACATGCATGGCAGCACAGTAAGTCCATCTGTCTTCCAATGAGTCATACCTCTCAACTGAAGAGAGCACGTAGCTGCCATCTCTTCCTCCACACACGAAGATACTTAAACAAAACATGTGGCTTATCACTTCACATCAAAACGAGGTTCCAAGAGTTATTTTTCAAAGTTCTGGTTTGTTTTAAGAGTTTAGCAAGGCTTGATTACAGCGACTTTTGATTTACAAATGATGAAAAATTGGAATTGTTTTGGCAAAAAAGAGAGCTGTTGCTTCTTTTGCAAATAGATTTAGGGTCTTAAAACAAAAAAATACCCAGTTTACATCTTTATATTGCTTTGTATTCAACAGATATTAAAAACCCCTAACTGTCACTACATCTAATATAGTTTTTTTTCCAGAGTATCGAGAAACGCTAGTATTGTACCTACGTTGCTATTTAAGTTGAACCAAACTTATTCTGCCTGTAAATTATTTTGCCTAAACTTCCTATGGGGTGAATATGTAATACTGAATTAGACAGATTCCTTTCATTCGAGACTAATTCATCAAGTAAAATCCGACCTAGTGCTGATAAAAGGGCGTCTTGTAAACTTGAATCGTCCAACTAACATTTTTCCAATGACGGCACAGCCACTATTTGCTCTCGTAGACTTCATACTCTTTGCTGAAACCCACCCTCCCTTCGCTTTACCCTGTAGTTCATTGACATTTATGGCCTCCACCGAGTTCAAGTAGTTCCATCCATCGTGGCCTCCAATGGCGAATACTCTTCTGTCGTCATTACTGCTGCTGTTGTTGTTGTCAAAGAGTTTACCTCCCAGTACGCAGACAGAGAGACCTTGTCTAAAGAGGAAATAGCCCAAATTAAATAATATTGATTTTTCTATTTCCCAACCGACCAGTATAAAGAGAAGCAAATGTTTCAATCACATTTGACGCATTTCAAAGATTCAGTTAAACATACTAGACGCATTTCAAAGATTCAGTTAAGTTCGCTGGCTTGTTAAAAGTTCCTTTTACAGTATATTTCAATTTGAGAAAATAAAAATAAGAGAAGTTATGAGAAAAAAATCCTTGGGTCCTTCTGAAAGAACAGATGAGCCTTACATGATGCGGCCAAGGAAATAGTGTCTCAAGTAACACAATTAGTGAATGAATACCTCGATCTCGATACTTTTCCGGATAGACTTAAATTGGCGAACATTACATCTTTGTTCAAAAATGGGGATACCGAATATGCAACAAACTACAGACCAGTATCTAAAACTCATGCACTAGCGAAAACTTTTGAAAAAAATCTTCAACATTAAATGACTGAGGACCGAGATAAATTCCATTTGATAAGAAACATCCATTTGGATTTCAAACTAAAAATTTCTAACAAACAATCAAAACAAGTCGATTATAAGACGCTTGTTGTGGGTGCTCTTCTTGATTTATTTAAAGTTTTCAACTCAATTCATCATACTTTTCTGTTAGCAAAAGTAGAATACTTAGTCTTTGACTCAACTGCCATAAACTTAAAGAGATATTTCACAAACAGACATCATAAACTATCTTAAATGGAACAGAAACAGATTGGCTCAGAGACTTAAGAGGAGTTTCTCAAGGTACAGTACTAAGAACTTTTTTATTAATCTGTATGTCAATGATATGAACAAAACGATAAACTGTGATATGATACAAAAATGCTATGATACAAAAATGCAGATGATACAAAAGTGCTCACTAACGTTAAAAAATAATATATACCATTGCAAAAAGAGTTTCAAAAAGGACATCGCTAATTAATTGCACTATTTTAACCAACACTCATTGAAAGTCAATCAGGATAACCAACACCCATTGAAAGTCAAATCAGGAGTTTATTGTTTTTGGGAACCTTTCAACACAGAGACGAAGTTGCACTTCGCATACACAAGCAAAAAAAATGACCGATAACGCTAATGGGGAAAATTGAAAGGGTAAAACTTTGAGTCTACAAATTTTCTTAGGTAACGCACGCCAATTATGAGTCTACATAATTGCCAAGTGATGTGAGCCAATTATGACGCATTAGCAGTACCAGTCATTTCTAAAAAGAAATTTACTAAATAACATGCCTCAATTTATAGAGCGGACGCATGTTAACTAGTGAAAACGTTCTTAAAAAACATCCGACCTGGCCAGGTTTGAGCCCTTTTATTTTTTTGCTGATCTCCTTCCCTACCTCTACTCTATGGATTCATGATACCTTGAAGCTTAAGTGCTATTAGTAATACACAAGTCTGTGTTAATATCCTTAGCATTGGCTCTACTTAATAGCTGGTTATTGATCATAATGAACTTTCAAAATGAACACATTTTGTCGCAAAAATTTGTACGTCGCAACAAAATTTGCGACTTAGGTGGAAGAAAAAGAGAGTTCATACGATAACACAAGCTTTGGTTGAATAAAAAAAAACAAGAAATAATTCAAGTTAGTGTCAAATTGAAAACGAGGCTAATGAAATTGAAAGTTAAGGCGTCCTTATTGACAACCAACTAACATATCATAATCAGGTTCAAAGCATTTAGAGACAAATGGCACAGGACATCAAAACCATCTACACACACCGGAATATTGCATCATCTAATTTAGAACCCATGTTTATTAATTGTCTAGTACTCAGCCATTTATAATCTTCGGCCGTGATTTCGAGTACGATATCAGAAAAGCTAATCTTTACATTAGAAAAACAACTCAGCTCTCTGTTGAAGCCTGCTGCGGTGTGTTCAAAATTCCATCTTCGACAAATTAAAAACTCGAGCACAAAATTCTGCCTGTTCGGGTTTGGATTTTGCTTGATTACATAACATCATTATACACTCAGAAATTTCATAAATAAATTCGATCACGCTCATTTCTGAAATAGCTAATCAGCAAAAAAAAATTAGAACAAACATTCTATTGCATAAAGATCGCCAATTAAATGATCAACTTTTCGCAAATGTAAATTATTCCACATCCAGAAAAAATTACGAATTTTTTTTTCTGAACCAATTTAAGGAGGACCCAAGTTGAAATCCATTCAATTTCCCATAAATCATGTCTTTGCTAAATAATAATTACTACTCGTTGTCCAAAAAAAAAAGATTCAGTTAAAACACTGCCTGTAAACTTCGAATAAATTTCGTTAATATTTATCAAACTACAGGAATTTTAGTGTTCTTGATTTTTAGTGGATTGATAGAAAAAACCCGTGCAACTTGTTAGCAGCTTGAAGAAACCTGTTTTTTTTAAGGATAAGATTTCTTCACATAAGAACAGGACTCTGCCCCATTTAGCTCTCACATATCATCAATACCCCACATTAGCAAATTCGTTAAAAGCAGAAGAGCCCAAAAATAGTTGTGAGATCAAACGAGAGGAAGTGAGTTCAAACAAACTTCGATTTAGTAACTATTGGTACGCGAAAGCCCAAACGGCTTCCGAATAGGCTTTTATTGCCAAATCAACAAATAATCGACCAAATTTATGCTGGTTGGATTTCAGATTATAGAAAACAGCAAAAGCAAACGAAAAGCCAGGAGGATCGATGTTTCAAAAAGCTTAAAAAACACTTTCATGCACACAACTTGAAAACCAGCGTTTACTGAACAATTAAAAAAACACTTGAAAATAAGATATCCAAGAGAGATCGATGACAGACCATGTCGAAAGCTTTAGACAAGTCAAGCGTGATCAAAGCTGTTCTAGTGGGTGGCCTTTGTCTAGAACCAGCATTGATAAAAACTCGAGGACTGATAACGCCGTAGAGGTTGAGTGCGTCGGTCGAAAGCCACGTTGGTGGTCGGCTTTCGGTAGGTGTTTACTTAGGATTGGGCGAATTAAAGATTCTAAAATTTCAACACCTGGGCTTAAAATTGATACCGGGCGGTGAGCTACTGACGATTTGAGGAATTTATTAGGTTTAGTTCTCTTAACATCATACCTCAAATATGAAAAAGCGGTTAAAATAATGCCATTTATCTTCGTGCCAATCAGATCGATCTGTATTCAAATTATTCTTGAGTAAGAACGATTTACAGTCATTACAAATTTAAATAAATCTTTAATGACTCCTCCGTTTCTAATTAATCTATGAAAAGAGCCACCTCATCAAGAAGATACGATCTCTTTTTCAAAGGAAAGCATAATGTAGTTCTTCATAATATTTTGCGTCACGTCCATTACCTGTGTACTAATTAAAACAACTTTTTCATGATTTCAGTTTCAAAAGAAAGCATAATGGGAGAAGAGTCTGTAATTTTAAGCAAAAGTGGGAAACTGGAAAAGGTATTAGAAATTAGCAAAAATCATGAGACAGCCCGAATATCATCACACCAGAAACTAAATGAGAATATCAGTACCAAACAATAGAAAAAATCGCACGAAAGAGGCAACCAAACACAAGGTCTCAATTTATCTATTGTAGGATTGTTCCGCAACATCCAACCTTTCATTTCAAAACCAAAACTGTACGAAATGCACCCCAAAAAGAAAGCAGACTTGTTGAAAGGCTACGAGACTGACCACAACTCTCCGATAGTTTTTCGCACACAGGGTAAAGAAGCAGCTGACGGAGCTATATTTGCTGTCGTCGTAATCATCGTCGGTGTCTGAGAGCCTGTCTTGTGACAAAATTTCTCGAGGAGCAGACTTTCTCGGTCAAAACGGGGCCTTCGCCGCTTCAATATCACATCGACTTGTGCTTTAACCTCGCCTTTCAGTGGTTCCTTTCAAGAAAGTAGTGTTTTCAACTTAAATGCAGCAGCTTTTATTAATAAACATGCACACCTGCAAGTGATCATTCGTGGATGTTCTTGGTCAACCAGGTGACCCTTACTGTCATAGCAGTCCACATGTCCTATAGTCCTCAAGTTCTGTCTTCCTCCGACCACATACAGCCTACTACTGATTTTGTTCGTCCCGCTACTACTGCCATCATGATCATAAGCGATGTGCATTGATTTTTGAAAAATGAATTGTTTCAAAACTTCAAGAACGCGAATCAGCCACTGCGTTAACGTTAAGATTTTTTAAGGTAACATTTCAACAGTAAATTTTGAAAGGAATTTTAAAAACAAAATCGTAGATTTATATTTAGTTGTCTGTTGCTGTAATCGCTTTCAAATTCAGCATTGAATGTTACTAGATTTTCAGATGAAACAAATTATATTTAAATAATGCTCATCACTTGTTCCTATCATCGAGGTCCTCTAGCACCACTGCGCCGAACATGACTTGAGCTCTGCTCATTTCAGTCTCCACTCTCTCCCACTTGTTCAATCGGCAATCCAGCTTCTCCATCATATTAGCACCTGTGGCCACAACATCATCAACAAACTCATGAAGCAGTCAGTAGGCTATTTGAGATAGAAACGATCGCGAAGTTGTACTTCGCCTACACAGGCGGTAAACGGCAAAAAAAACTTTAAACGGTACTGAGAGCTTTAAACGGTACATCCATTAACATCCAATATTTCATGAAATAAAGCGTTAAAAAAAGATCAATACGAGACACTGGGTTTCGCAAACTGGTCTCCAGTTCGAGAATCACTAGCTTGAGCCACTTTACCACAAAACGAAACAAATGCATCTAATTGCTTTATTTTTAAAATCTAAGCCGCAATTTAACGGGCAATGTCTTTCACCTGAAGAGTTGGGTTCCATACCACCGACGACCACCAGTTGATCTAGAGTAGAGGGTCGCGGGAGTTCGGCCGACTGATCACAATTGAGGACAAAATCGGCAAGTTCGCAGATTTTTTCGCTTAGAAATAGTTGCGCTTCCGAATTCTGCTTCAGTACAAAGTAATGAGACAAAATTGTGGTCAGAGCCTGAAAATATTCATTCTAACTACTTTTCCAGACTTCGAAAAAAATTAGTAGTATTCAAATTCTTTGTTTGAAGGTGAAAAATACTAACATCAGTGTCTATGTAGGGGAATCGGACATTCAATAGAAGACGCTGCAAAAAGACACCTCGCTCTGATGCGTCATAATCGGCCCAGTCCATCACCACCTAATCAAATTAATTGATCAATATTCTCTGTAACTCTCATTTCGATAACTCGACCACGTATTTTGCAGTACCACGTATTTGACCGATTGTACCAGACAATTTGACCGATTGTATTCATTTCCTCTGCTCAGATATTTGGTATCTAACACTCCCTTCCAATTAAATACAATCTGCTTTTCACATAGTTGCAGGAAAGAAGTCATTCAGAGGTGATGAAGCCGTCACTTCAGGAAGAATGGCTTTCAGGAACCTCTATTATACCGCCTCCATAAATATTACCGAGTCTCATATATCAGCTAAAATACCGAAAAAAAAGCATAAACATGGTTTCGAAGACCGAATTCATATGATTATATGGCAGGGAAACCCAACCAAACTCAGTCTTTTCTAGATAATCTTCTCATTTCATTTGATTTATGCACTGGCGGACAGGCAACCAATTGAAAAACGTGTAACTTAAATGCAAATGATCAAACTCAAACATAGCCAGCCATCATTTGGAAAAGAGTAATGAACATGAGGAAACTAAAAAAACTGACTTGCTTCGAAGAAAAAATAGATGCCCTTAAAGCTCGTTGAAATTGTAGAAACAATTTATGACTTTTTTTGTTAAAATTAAGCAAATTTGAGAAAACTGGATCAATAGGTAAAACTTTTATTTCGCTGGGAAATCTGACAATTAATTTCCATTTTCAAAATTAGAAGCTGATCACATTTTTCGTGACTTTTACAATTTTGCTGTTCGATAGTGGAGTTTGCCTTAATTTTAACAATGGAAATTCACTGATCGCAGAAAGAAATCACAAGTCAAACCGCGAAAAATCAAAATTGAGCGTGAACAAATTTTAGGAAAAAGTCACCAAGACCTATATAAGAGCGTTCACTCTTCAAAACCAAACTATATAAAAACAGAAAAACAAACATGATAGTCGCTTTATAATGTCTGTTTGAGCTTCAAAAAGCCATTACACTTCTTATAAAATGCACAAAGGGCTATTAGCTATGCGATAAATGCTTTTATTAGCAGTTCATTCAGACCAAAAACAAATACGCTTAGATCACTTGATTCGTTAAAGGAACTGAAATTTCAATTTCGATTTCAATATTCGGCCAAAAACGCGCAGTTCAAATGAGCAAATTTGACTAAACAAATCATGATATAGCAGGTCAACTGCATTCTTTTACTTGGGCATGCTAATCGACACACTAATAGGGCGGTGTATTATTTATAGCAAAATAACTGCACCATATATTATATGGCCCATTGCTCACTTTAAACTCACTTGCAACACTTGCAGTTCACTTTTTACATTCAGTCTCTCTGATCTGACAATGTCTTCCAAAGCATCAACAGAAACAGTGTCATTGAATTCTTCACCATGCACTTCCATGATTTCGCAGAACGAATCCTAAAACAGAGCTACCATCTTTAAAAAGACAAGGACGGTCCAACAAGAAAAAGTAGCAATAAGCCTCAAATTAGTACCAAAAAAAATCGTCGACGTCTCGGCTGCGATCTGCAACCTAGAGATTAAGAATCTCACCCACTAACCACTCAACCGCGGACATTTAATAAATCACAAACATTTGCCACAAATAAAGCTATGAACAGATGCTATGAAATTTCCAATGCTAGTGATCTTGATTGTAGCAAAAAGGCCACAAATAAGCGAACATTTTTAATAAACACTTTTATTTACGAGTAGATTAGACAAAACAGAAGGTTCTAATAAACTAACGCTCGCATGTTAACAAGTGTAACAAGATGGTAAATACATAACATAGAATAGATTTGAATTGACATTTAGGGTATTGATTTTTTACGACTTGCCATCTGCAATTATTCTCACGATTTTAATAATGATGCATTTCCGGCCTTTAAGCTGCATTAAACAAGAAAACCACTTGATAAGAAATTAAAACAAGTTGATAAGAACAAGAAAACCTTTTTCTTTAAGGCTTGATAAGAAAAAGAAAACCCTGACTGTTTTTTTGTTGAAAAACAGTCACAGTCGAATAGTCCAATTAGTAAACAGTCCAATTAAAAAAATGACAAGAACAACAAAAAAAATGGTTAATTTTTTTTCTTATTTTTTGCAGATTTTTTTTTTGATTTTTTGTTTCCGATTCCCAAAATGGCGCAAAAAACTTACTTTACTCGAGAAAAACTACGTTATCACGGCTTGAATTAAGCTTAATAAGGTATCGTATGCCTTCACGCTCACCTTATTAGCTCGAAATTAGACCAAAAATCAAAAATTTCAAACCTGTTTTTACTCAGCACTGAAATCTTTGAATGTCCGAATCACGATTGAAAGGGCTTTAATATGATATAAAACTCGACCCGTTTCGATGATTTTTTGTGGTACCTGCTTTTAAGAAGTACCTTATTAAAAAACTTTAGCATATTCGACACTCTTTGCAACAATGGCAAGATGGACAACAAAAATACTCGAAAAATTACTCAAAACAGAAAAATCGCGAAAAAAGTTCTGAACCTTTTAATTTTTTTTTCAATTTGTTGAATCCGAAAATGGCACTAAAAAGTAACAAAATAAATTAACAAGAGCAAATTCAAGTTTTCAGGTCTTGAAAAGATTGATCATTAATAAAAAGGTTGATCAAAATATTTTATGATATTTTCAATGTCGTCAAATCAAGACTAAAAGGACTTTAATATGATATATAACCACTTAGTGCGCCATTTTGATGATCGATATTGGACAGCGAAATATGCCTTTCACAAAACTTAAGATATTAAGTTCAAAATTAAACGACTTAAGTAATTGTCTTCAGTTGATTTATTGATACTTAATGACAAAACTTATTTAATTTGGTTATTATTTCTTGGCATAGCAGGAAACGTTTCATTGACACCTCATGTTTTTTAAGATAGCACATAAATTTTTACTCACTTACGACACAATACAAAAAATAACATAAGATTTCGAAAACGAAAATTTAAAAAATGAAAAAAAAACAAGGTCTACCAAGAGTTACATTTTCATACGACTCGGTAAACGTTCATTATTGAAAAAAAATACCAGAAATCTGAACTGAACACTAAATTAGCAACAGAACGAAACTTATGAAGAGGAAACAAAGCCGACCATCTTTGAGCAGGCAAGTGGAGCCAAAGATTAATAATGACAAATTTCATTAAGATTAATAATTATTAATAACAAAATTTCAAGCCCTCTTGAAAATACATAGAACAGCAATTGCACTTGCAATTAAAACGAAAGTTTCTTGCGGAAAAAGCATAATTTGTCGTAAGACAACGAAGACGACAACCAGAGCAAACAGTTGAGCCGAAAAAAAGTAACTCATTTTATAAAAGTAATTAATTTTTTCTCAAGTCCTCCTGAAATTACATTAAACAACACTTGCACTTGCAACTAGAACGACTGTGGCGTAGGGCACAAGCAAAACTCGTGATAAGGCAACTGATCTGAAAAAACTTGAGCAAACAAACGAAAGTCCGACAACTCCATTTTCCCAAAAAAAGTTTCAGTTGCCTGCACGCTAAAAAAAACAAGGTCCACCAGGGACCCAAACCACTGAATTCAGGGTGCAAAGGTCACGTCACAACATCTAGGCCACATGGGAACGAACCTCAAACTTTTTAAGCTTCGATACTAAATCAAGTAAGAAAAGTAAAGAATTTCCAGACCTAATTTTTTTATGATATGAACGCCGCATTCAAAAACATCAGGGCATAAATTGCTTCTCTTAATAGCTTTTTGCTTTAAAAAATCATGGCCCTTGTTTTCTCTCCAATTTTGAGACTCATTGGTTTCTTAAACGTTTCGTAGTTGTTTTTTTGAGTCTCAGTTGCTTGCTAATGGTTTCTTAAAAAATATGTATAAACTTAATTCAATCTCACGATCGGTGGATCATTTAATATCATGAATGCCCGTTCAATCAACTTCCAACAAATTACCAAATACATAAGCAATCATTCATCATTGCAAGAGACGCAACTAGAAAGACAGCATCAGCCTGTATAATGATTCCAGTACAGTGAATGAGTACTTTATTGCAATTCTTTGTCTGGACCTGAAATCAATGCTATTATGAACTTACCAGTATGAAGTTGAATGTAATATCGCTCAGTTGGGATAGATTATTGTTTGATGCAATGTCAAATGAGGAGATGCAGTTGGATAGAGAGATTGAGCTGGCAATAAAGTCACTGCAGATACAGACTAAAGATGACATCTGGAGGAAATTGGACACTAGCAGAATGTCCCAAACACTATCCCCACACAATTTCAATTCACCTGCAAGAAAGAAACTAATCAAATCTGTTGGGTTAGATGATGATGGGCGTCCTTCCTTGTGCACTCGAGAACTTCGCCACACAAAGGTTCACTCCTATGTATTTATTTCACGAGCATCCATCTTTTTTTGCGGACCATAGCATCTTAAATTATATTGAGCGTGTATCTTTTTTAGCGAAACCTTTCCAAAAAAGTTTCTAAAACCGTGTTTGAGTCACACTTTATTCAGTGTCACACTTTATTCAGTTCAGCTTTATTCAGTGCACTTTATTTAATTTTTTTGTGCACTCGAGAACTTCGCCACAAATGTTCGCTCCTATGTATTTATTTTACGATCATCCATCATTTTTTAGTCCGCGTTTGAGTCACAATTTTCCGTGACCGTCATTTCCGCCCCAAAACCCAGTCCTTTCCGCCCCAAAATCAGTCATTTCCGGAGCTGACAGCTTTTGGGGCGGAAGTGAGTGGGTCGGAAATGACTGGGAGCCACTTTATTCAACATGCTTTAATTTAGTCGCCATTTGGAAACTATATTAGCGCTGCATACCGTGATAAACGAAGTCAACAATAGTTTTCATTGTGTCATAAGTGATTGTCTCCAGCACCACTCGCGACTCCGACGCCTCTCGCATGTTAGCGTTGAACATTGCGCAGAAGTAGTCACTATGAGCACACAGCATCACTCGGTGACATCTGATCTGTCTCTTTGGATGTAATGACGTCACAGGAGGCGAAGAGCTTCGGTTGTGTCCAACTGATCCGCCCATCGGCAACGAGTTGTAGTCGTCCGAGGAACTGGATGGTGACGCGCACCAGTCTCTATTCTCGTCATGCTCAAGTATACTTATCGAATTCACTTTTACTTCTGATGCTAAAAAACATAACTCATTACAGTGCTGCAAATGCACAATTACGGTTACACAATTTATGTTGACTCCCTTTTAACAAGTCGAATTCAGCGGGGTCTTCCTAGACCACACGAAATCGTTGAAGTACTTTCACTGAATGTAAATAAAAGGATAACTTCTAAATATTTGATTATTTTAGAGTAAGTTTTTGCAGTAAAAAATGCACTTTACAATTTTGATAGCGTGGAAAAAGTAGAGGGGTTTAATAATATTTAATGAGGCGATTAGTATCTTGAGGGTGTTAAAGCATTTGGTTCATTCATTAAGGATTTTCTTGCCGTCGAGTGTGGCCGTTTCATTTCGCTGTTAGATATTTTCGCATTTGAGCAGCATTAACTGCATTAGTGTACCTTATAGGACACGGTGAGGATCTGATAATCAATCACTCCCCCTATTGAACTTGGTTTCTTGCAAAAAGCAAACAATCAAATAAAACTTTCACACGCAAAGGCGAGCCACTTGCGATATAACAAACATAGCATGACGAAACAGCAGACAGAAATTGAGACGAAAGCCGCTAAGTCGAAAAAAAGGAAGTTTTAGGAAGATCAAGAAAAACTAAATCTGTCAAAACATTCATATCATTGTCTTGAAATAAGTTCACTTTGAAAACAAATGAAAAATAAAAAAAAAATGAAAGTTAGATTTGCACAGAAACAAAGCGGTACTAAAGCCGAAACTTTTTGAGCACAGCCGTTTAGCCAATTTTCTTTTCATTTTTTAGGGAAAAAAATTAATCCCCTAATACATGCCACTAAGACTCTCGCGCATAGAAACTTGCTTCGCTTATTCTATGATGGAATATCATGCCACTAAGCCGATTGAGTATATACCGAAAAAAACTTCTAGGCCGAAAAAACACCAAGAAAAACGGGGAAAATTATAAGGTAAATTTAAAACCAAAAATTTACACCGAGATAAAGCTGCGCATCGCAAAAAAATAGGGATAACAGAGCAAAATGCAGCTCTATAAAGAGCAATAAGAAAAAGAAGAATAAAACTTGAATTATGTCTTAGATTCGATCTGCGCCCCGGACTAACCACTCAGCCACGGACGCTTATTAAACCATAAACACTAGCCACAACTAAAGCAGAGAACAGATTCTTTGAAAATTTCAATGCTACAGATCGTGATTATGACATAACTCACACTAAATATTTGAACTTTTATTTGCGACTTAGATGAGAAAAAAGAAGATCCGTAGCAATACAATAACGCTCGCGAGTTAGCTGGCTAGTGCAAAACAAATAAAGAATAGAATCGGTCTTTGAAATGCAAACATACTCAAAAAATGTCTGTTGGCAGATGAAAAAATATATCTGAAAAAATGATTAAGTGATTTTGTTTGACAAGAAGTTATCGAGATTAAGTCTATGTTCCGAACTGATAACCATTGCTAGTCTCGAGCGAAAAAATCACATGCGCTAGAATTGAGTGCACACATATGAGCGCATCAAGACATTTTGAAATAAATACTAAAAAACTATAGAGAAAAATAGAGAACTAAAATTCCGCACAAACACTTTTACCTTCACCAATGAGGCTTCAAAATGGCATTTAGCATTAAGTTTCGCCGAAAAAAATCAACTACGGTGGGATCTAGTTAGGTTTGAAAACAGTGCGGTACCACAAGCTGTTACGCTGGAGCTGATCGTAGTTCTGGTAAACTTATTCTGGTGTATCCTTTTTTTCGATGACGAAAACAGCAACAACAAACTACAATTTGCTACGCAGCTAACATTTTCATAGATTTTAGAGATACTATTAATTATTCTAAAACAACCGACTTTCCTGAAAAACAACCAAACTGGAACTGAAAACTTATCTCCAAAGATTCAGTTATGGCCCGGAAAAGAACTTTTCATGACTCAAGAAACAACATTCAATAAAGTTACTCGACGATAGTTCGACACATAGAACCAAGTAACCATTTGGTTCAATTCGCTAACGCCTGGAAAACATCAAGAGAAGTTTTTTTGTCGTCGCCTTTTTGTACATAATGTAACAATGCATTAGCTGCTGTTGAAAAATGGACAGCGTAAATTTATTATAATTTGACGAGAAATGGAATCATAAGCCTTTGAAAGAATCGATGAAGCAGAAAAAACTTTTTTTTTAAATCCTTTAATTTTGAGCACTTTCTATAACGTAGATAGGCACATCTCGTGTTGAAAACTTTCTTCGAAAATCAAAATGGAACGGAGACACTATTTGATGTTTTTGAAACTATTCTTTAATTTTCAAAAATTTCTGAGAGTACTCAACTTATTGATATCTTTTGTAAATAATGGTTTTGTTCTTCTTCATTATGATGGAAACATATTCTCATCTATACGGGTATAAAAAAACAAGGTAAGGTTTGAAACGACTAATTATTGGCCATGGATTCTGCTCAAGCAGGTACGGTGGAAGATCCTAGAGGTTTTCTGATAATTAGTTTCCAAGAACATCATCGCATTGTTTCACTGTTATGAGCTGGAAATGAAAATTGGGAGCTTCAGACGAGGATGGATTATAATTAACTATTTGGTTCACTTCGCTAACGCCTGGAAAAAAAATCAGTAAATTTTTTTTTCGTCGACGAGGAAGGTTTTTCATTGAATTATTGGGTCTTTCGCAATGCAGTCTCCCAGCCTGGTAAAAAAGACTGTGGAACACAAAACAAAAATCAACTCTCAAAAACAACATACATAACAGAGCAAACCAGCCCAGCACACAATTTTCACTGCCTGGATGCGAAGCGGAGCTTCGTATCACATGTGGAACAACAACAAAAGCTTCAAAAATAGCCGTCCGATAATGAGGCGAATGCTGAGAAAAATGCCGAGTTAGACAATTTTATGTTAAACACGGTAGCACAGACGGCTATGACCAGTTTCTCAGAATAAAAACTATTTTTGCTTAAAGGTGGTTTCTTTTTTTTTTGTACGTCGTGTGATGATAAAACTACACAAACGCGTACAAATTCAGTGAATTAGATTTTTGCAAACAAAATTTAAATAAATTTTTTAAAAAATTGCAAGAGAAGCACTAGGGGAAGCAGGCAAACTTTTTTCGACCGCCTTAATCAAAAAATTTCAATCCGGTTTTTCTCGACGCTGGAAGAATTTTTATATCAGGGTTGGGTTTTAAACAAGTTTTTTAAATAAAAAAACGTTTAAAACGTTTTAAAACGTATAAAATTCAGATTTTATACGTTTTAAAACGTATAAAATTCAGATTTTTAAGTACTTTGTCAGAATTATGCCACACATTCTTGGCTGACAAAAAACTTGGAACCAATTTGAAACTTCAATTAAGAAAAACTTAAATAGGCAAAACTTAGGCCATGGTAAAACATAAAAGTGATACGTCACAGGTTAAGGGCACGCAAGCAAAATGCATGCTTAGCTACTTAGACTTCATATTCAAACATACAATGCTTACAAACATAAAGCTTGCTTCATATTGTTGCAGTATGACGTAATATAAAACAATAATTAAAAACATGAATACAAAACACCTGTTTTAAAACATGTTTTAAAACCCCCCTGTTTTAAAACAGCCAACCGTTTTATATGCCGTTCGAAACACGACTGGAAGGGCTTTAATATGATATATCACTCAACCCAGACCGATGATTGCTTGTGGTACCTCATTTTGCGTGGTACTTTATTTTACAACTTTAGCATATTCGACACTTCGTAAAATTGACAAGATGGACAACAGTTTAAGCCGAAAAATGACTAGAAAAACAAACAAAAATCGTGAAAGATTTTTTCTAAATTTTTTTATATTTTTTTGAATGACTAAAAGGGTTTCAATGTGATATATCACTCAGCCCTGTCCGATGATTAATTGTAGTACCTGATTTTGCGTGGAAAACAAAAAAGCAAACTGAAAACACTAAATAAACTAAAATACCGAACACAAAGTTCTTCCTCATTTTCAATGGTAGGAAAAAGAAAAAAACTAAAACACACTCAAAGAAGGATCGGAACCAAAATTTTTTGCTATTCAATCGACAATAATGGCACAGAAAATTCCGACTACACTGATCCAAGTTAAAAAAAAAATAAGAAAGAAGTATTTTTTAAATAATACCTAATTTAACTAGCACTGGCAGAATTAGTGCTGGAGAAGTTGTTCAATTTATCGTGAAAAAACTAATAGCTAATTTTACCTTAAATTATAGTAAAATTGGTCATCCTCTAATCAAATTCCTGTCAGTCTTTATCTATTTAGGCTGAAGAACGAAAGAATTCAGACCAGTTTTTCTCGACACAGAACTTTTTGTAAGTCGTGTCGAAAAATTACATGCCTCAATGCGATAATATCTTGTTTTCGTGCTTAAAAGCACTAGCAGAGATGGGGCGTTCACCGAAACTGAAAATTTGTTCAACTTGACAATGTTTTGGGAAACTTCAGTTCTTTCTTTTTTTTGTATCGTTGGCAGTTTTGCGTGAGTCCTGTTTTGTGTTGGAGTGAACCCGAGAAAAAAACTTGTTGAATTAACTTGCGACAATTTGCTGATTTAATTAGTTGTTGAGAAAAATATTTGTTCAGAAAAATCGCCACGCTTGGGGAATTTATGTTTGTTTGAAAAGCGGCATCAATTAAAGTGACCATTTTGTATTTTCACATTGTCCATTTAAGTCGCATCTGTCATGGATCTGAGATGAAACAAAAAAATTATTCAAAATAATTTTTGGCACTATTGTACATCGGCACTGTTCTACTGCCCCGTAGATGTCAATTTTTTAAAAAAAAAAACGGGTACCGGACATGAAGCCGACGGGACTTCTAGCCGAATTGTAAAATTAGGGACTTCAAGCCAAACATTTTCTCAAAAAATCATACAATATAATTAATTTGAAGACTGGTTCGAAGAATTTCTCACTTTCATGATCTTTCTTTAACCAGTTTTTTGCTTTTTTCATAAAAATTAGTTAGGGAGGTTAAAAATTAAGAAATTGTTGAAAGTGCTTTTTGTGTTTATAAGTTATTCATTTCAAAACCCGGCTGATGTAAACTATGGATGCCATTCCTAAGGGTGCATTGTCCTAAGGGTACAAATATGCTTATAATGGACTAAATTGGCCTTAATTTTTCAAAAATAACATCTAACAGATGAAACTATAGTGTTTTGAGATGCTTAAAAAGTTCAAATTTTGGCCTTAAATCCCGTCGGCTTGTTGTTCTAGACCCAGCAAAAACAAAAAGGAATGAATCACATTATAACCTCTTTCTTCATTGCCACCGCAAATAATTGTAACATCACAGAACCTGTCATCGTTGTAAAAACTTATCAAGGATTCAATTGTGTCTCGTTGATGTTTTAATGAATCCATCGAAGCCTATACAGAAGGTTGACAGCAAAGCTGCTCCAAAATTTGCAGCAAGCATGAACAATTGTCCGCTTTCACATCAGATATTTTCGTTAAATTGTACGGTAAAACTAATCAAATTGAGCGCCCAGAGAAGAAATTTCATTCTAATTTCATTGGCAAACTGAAATGCAGCAGCGTCAAACTAGCAGACTAAACATTGATTTGACCTAACACCTACTGTTGTTGTGGTAGCTACGCCCAAAGCCATCGTCTGCGGGACTTAACACCTACTCATTTTATGTACTATTTTAGGAACAAGAAAAGTTTTCAAGTGGTCGAAAATAATCCAAAGTATTAGACAGTCAGTTTTTGCTAAGACGTAAGTGTGAAGTAATTTCAAATTAGCTTATAGATTCTTGCAATTATTCAACGTTATTCTCATAATTGCCACCCTATCCGGGTCTTATGCACTAAACGGCCCAAAATCATTATTTCTACATCTGTTGAACTGAAATTAATGTGGTTTAATTTGATTGGCTAATTAGACAATTAAGTTTCATCGACATTTTCTGCCATTTCAAATGAAATAATTCTGCTAATATTTTTATCGCCTGGAAAGGTTGATCGGAAAGCCTGACCGTCTAAGTTGAATTTGATTGGCTAAAATTACCCAATCAAATTCGATCGCATAATTTCCTGCTTACGATGTAGAAATTTCGATTTTGGGCCGTTTAGTGCATAAGAACCCCTTATCCAGTTCAAACAGGGTCGGCAGGGCGATCCTGAATCTTCGAGCGCCAGAATTTTCGGTCGCGTGCGTCGGCTTCTGTCAGTCCTTGTCTCCTTATTGTTTAAAACAGGGGCGAAGCAGAGCTACGCACCACTTACAATACAATAATTACAGTATGAGTGCACCATGACGCTAACCAAATTAGTAAACAGAACTTCGAACAATGCAAGTTTGAACAATTGAAGAAATTGAAAAAACGATTTAAAAAAATAAAAGTAAAGCATTCTTTGTCGTGTTTGAGTTTATTTAAGATTTTTCAAGAGGTCCTGGTAGGGTTCAGTTTTAGTTTCAGAGTAAAAAATTATAGCGTTCTCTCTATTGAGCCCAAAATAGCAGATTTGAGAGGGTAGTTTTTGAGAAAAGTAAGTTTGAAAGACGTTAAAAAAATCACTATGTTAGCTATTCCTAAGGCCATGACTTTTCATTTAAAAAAATTAGGCAGAGCCGTGTGAGCAGGGGAGCTTCCCACAACTCGCGTCCTATCGATAGATAAATAAAAGTCAGATTTAGGAGGGTATTTTTTGAAAGTCAAAAAGAAGAAATTTTTACTAAAAAGTAAATTTCAAACGTTTTCGCTACTATGTGCATCGTCAGGATTTTTACAATAAACTACTCTAAATGACGATAAAACATCAATTTACAAATGTTATTTACAATAAATCACATACAATTTGGTTCTAAACCATCATGATAAAAAATTAGCCAATCACAGTTGACCTCTAAATTACTATTCAGATTAAAATACTTTTAACCTCTAAAATTAATTAAACATTTTGAAATTAATTTGTCTGGAAGTTTCTGAGTCATAATTTCGATTTAGACATGTACGTTTTGAATAAAAAACCAAAAATATTTTGGGACTAAATTTTCAGTGTTAACTCCCTGCTCGTAAACTCATCGCGCGTGTTCAAGCCCGGTTTCTCTTTCCTGATATGTATTGCCTCTAGTGTTAGCAATTTTGTTTGGTTGTTTGACCTATCTATAATTTCCCAACTAAGATCTGCGCTATTTCCCTCAAGTTGGCATTGCTGAAGGTGGAGGCCTACCGGTGAGTCTGCTTTCCTATGTTCCTCAATTCTAGTGGTCAAATGTCGAACAGTTTGTCCGACATAGGTGGAAGTGCATCCACTACATGACAGTTTATAAACCACTCTTGACTTGAGGTCATTAGAAAATGCTGACTTCAGTGATGGTAAACATGATTGTAGTTTTCTTGTGGTGAAAACCACTTGAACGTTCGTTAATTTTCGTAACCTGTTAGCAAAATATTGGCTCTGGTTACCTCTATATTGCACCATCAGCATTGGGGGCTTCTCATCCTTTGGTGATTGAACTGACAAACCCCTGTCACTATCCAGGGGCTTGCCTTTACCCTCGATGATCTTGCACAAGGCGTCTGAAGCCACCTTTGCGGACCAATTTTCAGGGTACTGATTTGTCAGCCATTGCGCCCTATTAGTTTCCATAGCCTTATCAAATTGCTCCCAGCTAGATGTACTCCTAAAAACCCTGTGTACAGTGCCTTGGATAACACTACGCTTATACTGAGTTGGGGCGCAGCTTCTATAGTTCAGTATAGTTCAGCAAAACCCTGGCCTAATTGTTGTGATAAACTTATTAAATAGTTTCAGATAGTTGAAATGTTTACCGGGGTAGCAATGGTTGCCCCGCGATGAAATTGTCCGACAGAAGATATCACTTGCTCAAGACATCATCTTCAAAAAATCTCCTGATTGCGGATTCTCAAGCACGCCATCTTGATTTTCCAAATTTCAATATCTTGTCCCTACCTGGGGCCCGAATTGGTGCGGTCCAAAACTTCTTACCCGAGAAAGACAAATTCAACATCATCGCTCTGCTCATCGGCGGAAACGACGCCTTCAACGGAAAAGACCCCTCCAGTATACCTGCAGGCGACATTGCTGAAGAACTGTCGAAGCTAGCCGAGGAGCTGTGTGAACGAGCCAGAAAAGTTTTCGTCATCGGAATCCCTCATCGTAGTGAGAACCGAGCTCGATCTGCAAAAATAAACGAATTCCTAAGAAAGATAAAAGGAACTTGGAAGTTTAGAGGAGTGAGTGAAAAAATCCACAGCTCATATCATTTGAAAACTGACGAAGTGCACCTCAGTGAAGAAGGTCTGAAGGGCATTAAAAGTATTCTCAAGAATAAAATCTTATACGATAAACATTCGAACATCTGCAATACAGAAGGACATCTGGTATATTACGAGTGTCGTTTCAAGAACTGTCAGTGCCCCTATTAACGTAAGTAGAAATAGTGAACCGCAGGCCTCCCCTTTTCGGGAACCACCAGGTTTGTCTATTTCTTCTTTTCCCCTGAGTGAGCCACAGGCCTCCCCTTTTCGGGAACCACCAGGCTTAACTGTTTTTCTATCCATAGTATAAGCAAAAATGGGCAAAAACTGCAAAACATGTAAAAGAGGCTTTGCCAGCAACGAGAAAACATACACTTGTGTCGCATGCAACGCTCAAATGCATTTGGAACCAACTTGTGTTGGGTTGTCTCTAGTGGCCATAAATGGAATAAAAGAACTAGGGCCGAATGTCATGTTGCTTTGTAATACTTGTGTGCAAAATAATGAACGAGACAACTTTATAAGATGCAAAACCCTGGCCAACATAGACGAGAAGCTCTCAAACATTGATGTAACTGAAAGCCTTAAAAGCATGGAAAGAAGACTTACCGATTTAGTAGATCAAAAAATTGGAAATGCAATGAAAACGACATGCGATAAAGTGGAAAAAACTTATAGTGCCGTTGTAGCTGCTGAAACCACCACCCGGATAAATCAAGCTCAAACCACTCAACATGCTGCCAGATCTAACTCTGATCACAACATAAATCAAAGTTTTAGGATACAAGGGGTCAAAGAGGACCCTGAGAAAACAAAAGGAGAAAACCTTGTCCCAACAAATGACGAAGTAAACGAAATACTAGACATAATTGGAGTGAAGCCGAAAATAATAGAACTAAAACGACTGGGAAAATTTGATCGTAATCGAATGAAGCCAAGAACACTGCTGGTAACTGTACCTAGCGAACATGAAGCACGACTAGTACTAGCAAAAAGCCGAGAAAAGCGAGAACAATTGGTCGAAAAAGAGGTCTACCTGCTACCAGCATTGACCAAAGAGAGTGCAATTAAAGAGAACGAAATCCTTAAGAAACGAAGACAACTACTAGATGAAGGCGTTCCTCGCGAAAAGCTGAAAATAAGGAATCTAGAATTGTTCAATGATGGTGTGAAAGTAACTATTGACACTGAAGTTCAGGAACCCCAGCATTGACTAGGATTCCTCAACATTCTGCAACTAAATACTAGAAGCCTAATCAACATAGAGAGAAGAACTAAGCTAGCAAATGCAATTGCAGTTGGAAATTTTAATGTCATATGCTTAAGCGAAACTTGGCTTAACGAGAATATTCAATCATCAGAGCTTTTTCTAAGTGAATATAACATCTATAGATCTGATAGAGCTATTGTGAGTGGTAAAAACTGTCACGGAGGCAGCCTAATAGCTGTCAAGAATAGTCTAATTACCGAGGACTTATCCACCAAACATGACATTCCTGATTCATGTGTGCTATGTAGTATAAAACTTCATCAAACTGAAATGATAATTGGCTCATTCTACAATCCGCCAAAAAACAGTAATTACAGATACAAAGTGCATGAATTTGAACAACTGATCAAAGCCATTCCTAAAAACAAACCGTTTCTCTTATGTGGGGATTTAAATTTCCCAGAAACAAACTGGAACACCCTCACCAGTACTGACGAGGAAGAAAACCAAATACTGCAAATTTTTGAAAATGGACTCTTTAGGCAGGCGATAGATTTCCCAACATGTGTGAAGAACATACTAGACGTAGCCTTCTATCGGAATTGCTATACAAGTGCCGAACAAGATTTTAACGTTTCCAAGATTTATGACTGCTCAGATCACAATGCCATAATGTTGTCTATTGAATGCACGGTATCAGAGCCGAAACCATACTTGGAAAATTTTAGAAGTTTTGGAAATGCCGATTTTGAAGGAATAAACAATTTTATAAACGAGAACCCATTTGATCCAGTATGCCACACAAACATTAACAAAATGCATGAGGAGTACACCCAATATTTGGATGAAATCATTAAGAGTTTTGTGCCTCTCAGAACAAGACATAGGCAATCACTTCCACCTTGGATAACAAGTAGCACTTCAAATTTGATCAAAAAGTTACAAACAAAACGGCAATCATGTATACTCAAACCGACCAACTACAGAAGACAACAAGTTAAACTGTTTGAAAATTTAGTAACTGAATCATCGGAAGTGGACAGGAAAAACTACCAAGAGGAATTGTTTAGAACACGGAA